CAGCCCCCAGACTGTCAGGATTGGCAATAGAACTTCAGCCAGCATTGTTATGAACACTGGCACCCCACAGGGATGTGTCCTCAGTGCCATCCTCTACACCTGGGGTGGCCAATTCCAGTCCTTGAGGACCGCTGTCCTGCTTGTTTTCCAACTATCTCTACCTGACGTGCTGCTGATTACCTGGCTACCATGGGTGAGCAGCTTCAAATACCTGGGTGTCCACATCAGTGAGGAGCTCACCTGGACACATAACATAGCACACTAGCACAGGGAGGGAGCGGTGTTTACACAGGCTCCACCCCACTCAGCCAAAAGTGACATTATGAACATAATGACTGGATTATTGGAGTGCAAAAAATATAGTTAATGAGAAAATACTGTATCTTACACTAGCTGCCCAAAAGCAAAAGTGATTCTTCTGCCATAACCTCACTTAGCTAAAACACCAGAGTAGAAACAGTAAAGAAAGATGCAAACACTTTATTCTTTTTCATCTCTATCACAGAAACTAAACATGACTTTAAACCAGGTTAGTGCGACAGCAACACAGCAGAGGTTTACACTAAATATCATGCCATTTTTGTATTCTTTCTAAATGTGCAACAATTTAATCAGAATTACTACTGCTAAATTGGTTCAACAGTGAGTAACTAAAATTAAATCATTTTTAATTTATAATATTTAAGAGGAAAGACTGATCTTAATTTATTGGAGCTAAATGTATCCGACAAGTCACCACACTACCACAGTTTTTTTGCATCACTGTAATACCCCTTTAGCTCGCAAATGTGTTTTTTCCACTGTAATGGTGTATATTTGATCCTCATTAGTTGTTCTTAATGTGAAAATTAAATAACGGAGGTGTGGGTACTGATGCAGATCACACGTCATCAGATATATGATGAAAAGACAACAGGTCTCCACAGACAGGTCTACAACACATTTCAAATAAATAAACTGAACTGTCATAATTAGAGCTACAGAGTTTAGTGTAGTGACAAGAGATGAGTGACAACACAGTGAGGATGACAAAATTATCACATAAGAATTTATCTCACCTTCATTATACAGGAAGAGGGGGAAGAGGTCAAGGAACATGAGAGGTTGCAGGTGGTACATGGTGTCTACTGGGTTCTGAAGGCCTGGTGGACAGGACAACATGAAAAACAGTTTGAAAAATAAGCTGGGTCATATGCTTGCATGAGTATCAAAACTTTTTTTAAATCAACTTCTCAGAGTTGAGGCAAAACCTGAATAATAATTTAGGTTTAGATAAATTATTTAGATGTAGTGGATTGTTGTGTCTGATTCTCCTCTTAGCTGTGTGTTGAATATACTGACCCAGCTCTGCTTTCTGCATGAGGACCTGAGTGAGGGTCCAGCGGATCCCGCCTAAGAAGGACGCCAGCAGCACCATGATGAAGCCCTTCAGGTTGAACTGGGTCGACTCGAATGTAAACATAAAAAGACCACCGGCGATCAGCAGGACCACCAGGATCAGGAACGGGTTCTGGTCAAACAGGACAGAAGAGAGGTGGTGAGAAATAGAAATGTTGAACAAGAGATTTGAAAAAATATGAAAGGACATAAACGGTGGTACAGAAGAGAAAAATAAAGATTTTTTTAAATGGATAAAAAAAGAGAGAATTTCACTGATAGAAATAAAGATGGATCGACACTGATGTATGCATCATTAGCTCCATACAGTTTATGACCTATTCTTACATACCAACAGTTACATAATTCACCAAGGAGTGAACTGAGTCTTTTATGCCACAGTAAACATTAATCCAGTTTAGGCATTGTGTGGTCAGCACATAATATGCATAAATGTTTGAGGTTGAAAAACTGTCACTCACCGGCTCCTCTAGTTTAAAGACCAGAGAGAAAAAGAGAATAAAGAGCACTGCTGTAGACTTGGTCATGGTGTACCTTGAATGACACAAAATAAGAGCCATACAATAAGATGGCATGATCCAAAGACCGGGTACATTTGACACTGATAATCTGAAGTTTGTCAGTTCATACTTAATAAAGCACTTGTATTTGAAAACAAAAGCTTACAAGCTAACGGTGATGAAGAGGAAGCTCCAGTTGGAAAGTCCAATATCCAGTGCTGTTGCCAAGGCTGGGTGAGACAAGCAAAATTTATGATATTTAGAAAAGACATTTGAATAAATGATGGTTTTCTACGAGTGAGCTGCAACTATGCCTTGTGAATAATAAAGTAGTATAACAAAGGTGAAAAGAGATGCTTTGGATTAATGAACATTTAACTAAATAACAGTGAAAACTACTAAATTTAGGCTTTACATGGGAGATTTTGGTGGTATACTGACTAGTGTCCATCATTAATTTAGAGAAAGTAGAGAAAATGGGTAATCCAGTCCAACATAATAAAGATAATCTGCTTATTTGTGACTGATACATTTGTTAGATTATTCAACATGACCCTCACGTGTGATGCAATGTCCATATCTTCATGGACTTTAGTCAAAATACTCTTCGCTGAGAGGTTAGAACAAGATAAGAGCTGACTGTCAGTCACTTTCTAATGCCCTGTTCTCTGAAAACACTGTTGACTCTCACCTGTGGGAGCTACTTTATTGAAGTAATCTGTCCAGCTCAGAATGACACGGGCTTTCCCCGTCCAGCGCTGCATGGCCTTTCTCGTTAGAGCCGACAGGCAGAAGTTGATGGCAAGATGAACTAATGTCATGAAGAGAGGATAATGGAAGCCCTGAGAGAGAAACAGAAAGGGCCATTTACAGTAAGCTGGCCTAGCGGTGGTACGCTGTCTGCAGAGTTAACCAAATGAAATGTAAGACCTTTTTAATACAACATGGAGTGCATTTCATCATCTCCTTCAGAGCCACACTGCTCAAAGACTGGCGCAAAATCACTAGGGACAATTAGGCCTACAATTATTTATTAAGTACATTCATTTGTTGACATTTTTGGGCCTTTTTGTCTTTATTTTTCAGCTGTATACAACAATAATTCTGAGTAATATAATTCATATAACAACAGGACCTGGACCTAGATACTGGAAGTGATGAAAAAATGAATACATAAATGGGTAGAATAACCAATTAAAATAGGTTGTGAGTAAAAATAAGCTATGTGGCTACTAGCAGCAATAACAACATTAAAACTACAGTATGTAAAACTTAAGGTAACACTAGGCTGAAACTCCAAATCAACCCACTCTGCTTCACCCAGCGCTTCCTCTCCTGCTCCACTATGAGCTGCTACGCTCCACCACGCTCTGCCCAGCTTCAGATATTTGTCATTATGAAATTACAATGAGAATGCAACAAAACTTAGTGATCATGCAAAATAATTGAAAACCTCTGACTGGTTAGAGAGATCAGTCCCACTCAAAACCTTTAGAAGCTAACGTCTCTGCACTGCTGCCGGTGCTGTTCAGTGAGTCTGGGTCACGGGAGGCTTCGACAGCACCTCTCCACATTAAAACTAGCTTTGGAACAGATTTCTAGAAAAAAAATACTTGAAAAAAGTTACATACTGTAACTTTAACAATGACAATAATAAAGCTGTAAAAAACTATCAATAACAAAAAGCTTTCTGGATGCACAGCCCACTGTTGAACTAGACTCTTGAAAATATTCAAAACTCTTAGAAATGAAATTAACTATATCTAATATCTTGTAAGGCCTCTGCTTTGTTTAGAGTACTGAGTTCAAATATTCTTAAAACTTTGAGACCTGCAGAGACCCTGTGTCAGGGTCCCAAACCCTGAGACACTACTTACGCTATTTGGTTTAACCTGGGTCCTATGTAAAGGAACAGTGGTGATGGAGGGGAAACCATTAGTGCTTCAGGATCTCATCCACTTACCTTCATCATCCATTTGTTGTAGAAGGTGATGCCTATAGAGAAGACATAGTAGAGGATAATTAATGCAACAGTGCGAAGCCCCCGGCAGAGGAACTGGACAGGACACGCCATCCAGGGCTTCCAGCACCAGCTGTTCAGAAAAGACAGCTACAGAGAGGAGACCTCCAAAGTGAACCTGCAGCCCTTCCTCTCACCCATAGCTGACTGCTTTAAGAGGAGACACTGCGAGTAGAAGAGGAAAAAAGAAACAAGGTTAGACTTTGGCTGCATGCGTGTAATGCTACAGATGTTAAGAGCCGAGCAAAACAGCTGAGGTGTAAAAAAGGCTGCAGAGAAGTTACCTTAAGGGCAACATTAGGTTTAACTCAAGTCTGTCCACCACCATAGCCTAGCTAAGTCACATCAGGTAACAGTTAAACCAGTATTAACCCAGTGGTAACTATATTTAAATAATTAGTCAACAAGTGATGAAACAGGTAGGCTATTGATTGGGTTTAGTGTTTTAAATTAGACTGCATTAGCTGATATTAGCTAAGGTAACATTAACAGCAGTACTCACCATAGGGCTGTTTGACAGATCCGATAGTTTTCTAGGCTAACTAGCACCATATGTTACTCCATTACTTGACATCAGTGTGCTATGTAGACCAGCACTGCATTGCTGATGCTGGTTAATTCATCAGCTATGTAAAACGCACCGATTTGCTCCACTTATCACTCGCCTGCTGCAACTGGTCACTGAGTCGTACACGCTGCGTTTTCTCGGTACGTGTCACTTCGGTACGGACACACCCACACAATTACAGTGGTCACTCTGTTAAAACGTGTCAGTGTTTACTTGTCACGCTAAAGTCACATGCCCTACAAAGGCTCTCGTCGAATTGTTGTGAACCATTCTTTAATTCAGCATCCACAGAACCCATCAAGAACAAGATGATTTGATAAATGTGTGACTTTTGTATTTATAGTTTTCCATTACTCATCCGTGGAGTGTTTCGCATAAAGAATGTGCACACAACACAAAAAAATGCAATGAAAATGTTGGTTAAAGGAGCTTGTACACAAGTGAATTTAACTTACTGTGTAACTAGCCTGTGATTCACGGAAGCACGGCTATGTTGAACTGTCTTTTTTTTATTATTAAGTATGGCCGTTACGCTACTTCATCTTCAAGCAATAGCACGGAGCAGTAGGAAAAAAAAACAGCCGTGTGACTCTAATATTAAACAAGTCTCAGTCACGTGGCAAACAAACCCGAGTAACATACTAACTTGTAGTGATGCGAGTTCTTCTTCTTCTTCTGCGTCTTCTTCTTCTTCTTCTTCCTCTTAATGGGAAGTCTGAGTCAGCTGACCCAGATTTTAAATGGGCTTTACCTTGCCAGCTCTGTAGTAAAAAGTCCATATAATATCTGAGTGAGCCTGAGTGATATCATGAAAGAAAACAGCTGCTTATAGTCTGGGGTTTTAGGGCTGAGTATTGGCAAGAATCTGGTGATATGATACGTATTGTGATTCCGGGGTTGGGAGTCGATACATGGTGATACTGTAAACAAAGTAATACATTGTGATTTTTCTTTTTTTTTAAATCTTAGTTTAGAAAGACTGTCAAAATAAGCAACACACCACCATATGCATAAAACCATCTGGATCTGCATTTGTCACAGTCCCTGTAACATCCAACAACATAGCACTACTTGGCATGTGAACGGTTAATAAAAAATCAATACCGTGCTTTTGAGAATTGATACAGTATCGCAATACTCAAGTGTATTGATGTTCTCTTACACCCCTATGGAGCATTCACACAGAGGTAGGGGGCGTGCTGATGATGCTCTGTCATGTGACTGGCACAAAACCAGAAAAAAGAAACAAACTTCCAGTGGTGAAGAAAAACAGTCATTTTTAATGATGATGCCAACGAAAATATTCAAATGTAGACACGAGGAGATTCGGGGACTTCGGTTTTTAATAGCCGGTGCTGAAATCATCACACAAATTTAAAGAATGGCAGGAGACTTTTTTTTTTATGACCAAATTACAAACTGGCTACGTGACTGCATCGTGCCCTGTTTCTGGGTAGAGTGCACAGGAGGCGGAGGCCCCCCTGCATAAACCAAAAGGAGTGTTTCCAGTAGGTGAGAATGTGTCTGTCTCTTGTGACAAAGTCCAGACCTGATTCTACAGACATAGTCTGGAGTTCATGTTTTAAAACAGGCTGTTGAGAGAGAAGTATGAAATATGACAAACAGAGAAGAAAGAGAAGAAGAGTGACAAGATGGATGGAGATGGGTAATGTCAAAATAAAGGGAGGTGAGGGTGTTGCTAGCTTCGGAAACTGTGTGTCTCCACTTTGTCACACAGCAGCGATTAGGAGCTGTTCCACAGGCAAAGATGGATGACTCTGCGTTTATCATTCTGGCAAACACGCCGCCACTGTTTATGCTGTTCCTCTGTGTTGGCTTACCAATAACCAGTCTTATTATTTCAGGGTTTCCCTATACAGAGTTGACTCCTGAACCCAGCATCGTCTTAGGTTTTTAAACCCTCTTTGAAATTGCAAGATACCTTCAGATGAAGTCCGGTTCTCTGTGATTTTTTATTAAAAATGGTTTAATGAAAGCCAGAACTAAGAAAATATTCAGGTTTATTTTTACTCATTGTATTGAAAATAGTTTTAGTTTGGAGTATAACAGCCAAAAGGCCTCCCTTCCTCATTAGACTTCAGTTAGCATGTAGTACACTGATGAACAAATCGTGGTGAGAATTAAACTCTGGGTGAAAGGGTCTGGTTTTAAAATATGCATCTCTTAGACACGCAAGGCCTCATTAAGTACATCTTTAATGCAATTAGATTAGTCCATATCTTGAAATATAGATATTGCTCATGAATAATTTAGGTTTTTCACGCCCAAGATGAGGGGAATTTTCAGAGGCTGGATTAAAAATACCTCTGGGACGAGATATTAAACTAACTTAGACCTCTTGGCCTGGAGTTCGATTGAAATTCCACCCAAATGTAATGGATATGCGGTCACACTTGCTTTCTCATCACGTCTTTTTAGCATTTTACAAAGTTGTGATCTTTACATTGCTCTGTGATGACAGTAGAAAACCCCCTTCTCTGTCTGAACCTTTCGTTGACAGCAATGATTTGGCTGTGGTTTATAGACATGTTGTTTCATTTCTCTCCCCTCCCCTCTCCTCTCTCCTCCTTTCATGCTTCTATATGCCACCACTACACATCACTAACTTTGTGTTTCCTCTCTCCCGTCGTGTGTCCTCTCTCTCTCCCTGTACCTTTCTGCAGGTTGCCCTGGCTGTGGAGCTCTATGTTTCTGATGAGCAGTCCCCAGCCACATTAACCTGATCAGTGATTGATTATTTGTTGTGTCTTGTTGCTTTTCTTCTTTTGTCTCTCCTCTATCCACTCACCCCAACCGGTCGAGGCAGAAGGCTACCCACCAAGAGCCGGGGTCTGTCAGAGGTTTCTTCCGTTAAAAGGAGTTTTTCCTCCCCACTGTCATCAAGTGCTGCTCAGGGGGGTTTGTTGGGTTTTCCCTCTGTAATAATATTGATAATAATAAGGTCTAGACCTTACGTTGTAAAGTGTCCTGAGATGACTTTTGGCGCTATACAAATAAAATTTGATTGATTGATTGACCTTGGCTTTAGACAAAAAACAAAAAAAGATTAATCAGTGCATCACATAACTGGAACATTATTTTCCTGTGGAACATTCTGCTGTTTGTCTGACCACCACTGACCCCAACCTCCTCCTGCCATGGACTTTCTCACTTCATATACTGTATCATCCTAAATGCTGAAAGCGGTAAAACCCGTGGAGGAGGCATGGCCGCCTTCGTCAAACAGTCCTGGTGCGCAGGCTATAAGATTCTCTCTAAATTCTGTTCTGAAGATGTGGAATATTTAACATTAAAGCTAAGGCCAATTTATTTACCTAGAGAACTGCAATGTATCATTGTGAGTATAGTGTACACCCCTCCCTCAGGCAAAGAGGAAGCTGCACTAAAGGAGCTATACAGAATGATTAATGAGCATGAAAACACATATCCTGAAGCTGCTTATTCTGGGAGATTTTAACCACTGCAATGTCAGGAAAAGCTTCCTACTAGAGGAAACAAAACACTGGACCAATGTTACAGTAACATTAGAAATGCTTTCTCAACTGAACCTAAGCCTCATTTTGGGAGAGCTGACCACCTAGCAGTCCGGCTAGAACCTGCTTACACCAAACGACTCAAGGC